GGTTTGAACAGCTGACCTACAGGTTATCCCAAAAACCTGCATACACACCGGCCCTATGCGGATAAGATTGGCCACCCCTGCCTTACACCTTTAGGATTACGAGCTTGAATCCGGCCTCTGCTCTGAGTGTGGTCTGGGGGATGGCACTCATTTTGCACCTTTAGGATTATGGGTTTGAATCCCACTTCAGCTCTTTGTGGGCTGATAGGTGACACTGTTGCCTTACACCTTTAGGATTATGGGTTTGAATCCAGCCTCTGCTCTGAGTGTGGTCTGGGGGGTGGCATTCATTTTACACCTTTAGGATTATGGGTTTGAATCCAAGTTCCCCACTCTGTGTGATCTGGTGGATGATAATGTTACCTAATGTGTTTAGGATTACGGGTTTGAATTCCACCTCCACTTTGTGTATTGTGCGAGCTTCCTTCCTAAGTCCAATGACATGCATTCATTTTGATTGACATCTATAAGTTGCCCATAGTGTCAGGGTGTATGTGCAAGCCCTGTCAGTCTGTCTATAATAAGCAGCTACAATACCAGTTGCACAAACTTAAATCTCTAGATTCATCTAGTAAATGTTTTTAATAGAAGATTATACCTATTATACTGAATGTACATTTTACAATATCGTTAACATTTGCAGTGCTGTAGTCACTACTGTCACTTGTTCTCTGGTATTCTATAGACATTTTATGATGATAATGGTGCCACAGGTTTTACAGTTAATATGCTGTTTTATCTCAAAACATTTTTTTCTGGCATCACTGTATTCAAAAAGTGTAAGTGCTCCCTAGTAGTTTGTGTTCAAATTAAAAAAAAAAAGTTTTGTAACTACCTCTGAGGATCTGCAAATGCAAGTTCCTGCCAAAATTTCCTGGTTCTGGAAAAACTTTCTGGGTTGGGTTATTGGGTTACCAATTCACCTAACCACTAAATTGCCCATTGTGCATGACAGTGTGTACCCTGTGATGGACTAGTGTCCTGTCCAGGGTGTCCTTTGCTTCCAGAGTCCAGGTTTTCTATGGCTTTTTACCATCGAAATATTTAGGGAAGATGGATAGATAAGTTGCAGTAGGCTAATTGTTGAAATGTTCAGTTTAATTTAACGGGTAAATATTAAAATGATTAATGCTGTGCAGTTAGTGCTAAGAAGTCATTTGTTCTATATGCTTAATACATTGGTTTGTGGAAAAGAGCATTAAAACAGTTTAACAGCTGCTCCCATGATGAAACTTATCAGATCTCTTCCTACGTTTATGTGAAGAATAGTCATTTGCTGTAGTTAGATCAGGCAGGATCATATGGTTAGTTGCGGGTGCTTCAGACGGTGATTTAACGTGATCAACTCGGGTCAGCTGGAGCAGACTTTTTAAATTACACGCTGTGTTCTCCTCCTGTGTCATAATGATACTTAATGAGCATTGCTTTATACATTTACATATATTAAATGATTATAGTGGAAAAACTTGGGTATAGTTTATGTAATTTTAAGATTTTTATGTTTTAGCGTCTTGGTTTTTGTGGAATTTCCTCTTTTGGAATTTTTTTTCCTTTAGTCCGTCAAGTGTGGTTTAACATAATGAAAGTGATGAATTTCTGATCCTGACACCTGCTCAGACTTGGTTTGTTGAAGATGATATTGCAGTATTCTGAAGTCCTAATGTGCATCAATAGGATTATTTTTGTTTAATTGCTGCTCATAAAATGATTTTAATACTGCACTTTGGTTGTATTTATTAAATGTGACATTTCTTACTCACCTGTCTGCTTTTCATCTTCTGTTAAACCTAGGCATAAATTGACGCAGACAACTTTTGAATCCCCACCTATTTCCCCGAAGACCCCTGTCTCTTCTGTAAGATGGAATGCTATGAAGCCAGGGCTCTCGAAAGTGGGCGGCACCATTCTGAACCACTTTTTCGAAAAAAGATCTCCCACTGGCTCAGAACAATCAAGAACACCCAAAGTCCAAAAGGACAGCAGGCAGGGTCAGCAGAATAGTGCAGCGTTGGTTATGAGTGTGAAGAAGGAGCAGGTGGAGGTGTCTGCTGGGGGACCCGTGTCAAGCTCAGCCTTTTCCATAAGTTCTGCCTCCCCTAACCAGAAACCTGTGGTCAAAGGTGACATTTACCTCTGGATTTGTACTTGGTAGAAATGTTGTCCTTGGCTAGGAAGTAAATTGTTAAAATTAATTTCCATATTCTTGCCAAAACATTTTCAAGGTTTTTTTTATGGCTGGGTAGGGCTATAATAGTGTGTTTTGCTACATCATTTGAGTTTAAATTGCAAATGCTTTATATTGTGATTTACAAAAGTATTAATCAAACAAGCTGATTTATGTTGCTGTGTCCTCGTATATTTATTGTTGCCAGTTGTAAAACAGGCTGAATAGGACAAAATGGAACCTGACAAGTAAATAAAACAAACTTGTGTGTTCTTTAGTGGAGTGTCCAGTGTGTAACGTGGGCGTTCCAGAACAGTATATTAATAAACACTTGGACAGCTGTCTGACCAGAGATGAGAAGAAGAAGAGCTTGAGAAGGTATGGTTTATTGTATTCCTTGGACTCTGGGAAATATATGGTTTTGGGACTGGTTCACTGCCACGGATGTTTTGCTTAAGACAATTGTTGAAAAATGATCTGAAGGATCTGTTTGTAACTTTGCAGAGGCTTTGTATTGTTGCTGCACTGCAACTGATTAAATTGAGAAACAGATCGCCCTTAAAATTTAAGCAACACCACATAGTGGCATCAAAGGGAAGGCTGAAAGCAGACAACATTTGAACTTGTGAATGTGATAAGTCAAAAACTATTTAATGGTTCTTATTACTGCTTCACAGAAATATTATATGGATGTAGATCTATGCCTCGTTTCATTTTCAGACAGACGCTATAGAAGATACTTGGTCTTATGAACACAGTAACTCTAAAAGTATTGCATGGATTTTTCTTAAACTTTGCAGGCACATTGTAGTGGTGACGTTCTGGAAGAGAAAACTTTGAGACAAATCGCCACAAAACTGAAGCCACACCATTTAGAACTGGAGCTGTTCAACTTTTGAGAACTGTTCAAGTTTGTCACTTAGTGTCAGCAAAGGGAAGGGTGAACTCAGAAAAAATGTTACTTTTGAACGTGATAACTCAATAAGTATGTATTGTATCATATTAGCACTTCACAGAAATATATAAGTTCTTGAATCTGGTTATCAGTGTTCTGATGCTTCTAAACAACCTACTGGACTGCAGGAGGTTTGTGGCTGGGGGTGGTCCTGAATTATAGATTGAATCTTGGTATGGCAACAGCTAAGGTACAGCTGGTCAGTGGGCAATAGTTCAGTACCTGTGGTCATCTACCGATGGCCTGCACTGTGCCTGGTGCCTTACTGTTGTGCTTTCAGGATGGTCTGTGCTCTACATGACACAATCCAAGCATGTTTTCGGTTGACAACATGACGAACACCTGAAACTTCTAGCCAGAAATGATTTTGCGTTAGTCTAGAGCTGTAGCCTTATATTTTCACTTGCTTGCTGTTGTTTGGATTTAGTGATGGTTATATTGGTCTTACAACATTTTAGGTCTTACATTTCTTAAAACCTTTTACTTGTTCACTGTGGAACAAACTGCAGTAAACTTGCAAACCAAAGATTTTAAACAAGCATGTTGCTGTTTTAGTGGCTGGCTAAGGTCACACATGAGAAGTATGTAGACCTCATTGGTTATGGACTCCTTCAGAGCTGCATGTTTGTGATATTGGTTAAAGCAACAACTTTGGACTGCCTTGACCAAGGAGTTAACATTCTGTAATGTTGAAAATCTTGCTTACATGGGCTATGTATTCACTTACCCTAATGCAAAGTGGTGCATGAATTGTTTAAAACGAATAAATGAATATGATGGATAATGCATTTCTTTTGACTGAATAGCAGAAATATTTGGGAACCACGATGATAAAAAGTATATAAATGGGTCAAGTAAGACTGCAAGTAGATGTCCCAGTTAATGATGATGTGGTATATTTTTCAGTTCCATCGTCAAGAGGAAGCCGTTGCCGAAGTTAGTATACCACCTGCTGTCCAGTCAGGAGCTGAAGAAGAGGCTGCGAGAGCTGCACCTCTCTACCCAGGGCCCCCGGGTGCAGCTGGAGCGGAGGCACCAGGAGTTTGTGCACATATACAACTCCCAGTGTGACTCCCTGAGCCCACAGTCAGGTAACAGCCAGTGTCACCATGCTGCAAGCAGACCAGTGTGCCTCATCCATTTTAATAACTTACCATTAAACATTTGCCATTATCATTTCACCAAGTGTTTTTTGTTGGTCAGATCTGCTTTTCCTGCATTTCTAAGCTGTAGAAAAACTGAGACAAATTCCAAAAATCAAGTTTTGGGTTTTTTAATCAGGCATTTTTTGGGGTAGTTTAGTGGAGGCTTGGTGTGTCCCCATGTCTGGAAGGGAAAGCCATGTAGCTGCAATATTACAAATGTTACAGGTCAGATGCAAACACTAATATTTATTTATTTAGCTATCCCTGGTGTAGGAAAGGTACAATATCTCAACAGGAATTAAAAAAAAAAACACTTCTGAGCAGAATGTGTAATTCACACGCCAAATTTCATATTCAAAAATGGTGGTGCCAAAGCCATTTGAGTTAAAATGGAATGACTCAATTTAAAGCTCTGTTAGGACTCAGCAGTCACAGAAATTAAATATGTATTTTGCGTTGTTTGCAAGTGCTATCCTGGGTATATTTATGAAACAAACTTGTATCTGACCCATGTTTCTTCAGTACTGTTCCTGTACCAAACATGCAAGTCTTTCCTAAAATCCAACCGTCATCTTTGACATTACAAACATGCATTTTTAACACTGCAGGCTTCTTAAGATTCTCTCCATGTAAAATGCAGAATCGTATATCGATGTGGCCAGTGACGTCACTGCTAATGCCTTTGCTTGGCACGCTTTGTCAAATGTGGCGATGCCACACTACCTGCAGGAACGCGGGCATTTTGGGGCTCTGTAATGTGCGTCCTGAGTGGCCAAAGGCAAAAGAGGAAAGACAAATCCCCGCTACAGAAAGGAGGAGGAATTGCTGGGGCTGCCCGTGAAGGACGCCAAGCACTTAGCGTAACACTCTGCTTAACACTGATGGGTGTAGATGCCAAAGACTGCATGCAGTACAAGTATCCGCTGGGTTTTGGGGAACTATGATTCTAAGAAGAGATTTTTCTGTACTCTGAGGAGGTACACTGCTGCTTTTACACTAACCTGTTTTGTTATCCATCAACAGTGGAAGACATAGCGAAGGAAGTAGAGAGGGATGAGAAGCTCAGGAATCAACCGGAACTGAAACAGCCGCCTGTACGTTCTTAAATATTACTTACAGACCTGAGTGTCATCTTTTGAATTCTGTATTTTGTTATGAATTTACAATTACTCTAATTGGCAAAAATGATAAAAAAAAAACACTTTTTATACCATAA